CGATTCGCAGTTGATGGAGTTTCTGAATCAGTTGTTCAGGTCGCATCTGGTTTATTTATATCGTCGTTGTTTCCTAGTCTTCCGTCGCAGCTCTCAGATTTAGGTGTCATATCGAATGACGATGTTAATTCGTACGATTCTCATCCGAAGGATTCTCCTCCGGTTCTCGGTACACCTAGAGGGAGTCGGAAAACTGGATCGTTCAAAGTCGTTTCTTTGAAAAGCGGTAAACACTCTGTGTTGCCCTCAACGCGGGGTAATATAGATGAACTTGGAGGCATGGAAACTGGCCTACCACCCGAAAGGATCAATGGAGGCACTTTATTGTCTCACATTTCGCATCGTGACGGTCACTTTAGTACCGATGGCTCATTAAAATCAGATAACTCTGTACGTCTTCGCGATGATGCTGTTAGACGATCATCTTCGCTTGTCGTTCTCAGAGCATTATCAGAATTGTCTGTTCCTAAATCTTCACAACATTCGGGTGACGTACATATAAACCCTGATCCAACTCGTGCGAACTCATCAATGTCCGCGAAAACTACGACGACTTTCATGACAACGATAAGTGGAGACAGCAGCGAAACAGAGTTTCGCGATAATTTTCTTTTCGAAAAGAATTATACACTCCCACCTTATTGATAAATGAGTTAAATATTTCTGACCGAACTGGTGCTTTTCTCACTTTCGTCTTCACGCCTTCCTTACATGCTGTTGAGTAGTAAATTATTCTGTTGATTCGATACGATGTGTGGTTACCTTACATCTTGGTAAGGGGAAGAGATGCGGTTATCTGCTGTTAAAAATAAACATAAATCGACGGCCACAGAAAGCCCTTGCTTTCACCTCGAGCTTTTAAGTAGTGAATTTCACCTCGAAATCTCATTTGTAATTTATTACATCAGTTATACCTAATCAATCCCAATTTTTTGATGAAGATTTAACAAGTTTGAAATTGCTTGACAGCAGATTTCGTGTAAACTACAGCACCTACGGGAATTCAATGGGTTTACATAAATATTCTTTCACAAGGGTATCAGAACAGTGATTATCGGAATTGCCGCTGTAAACTGTTTGATTCTTCAGTTTTACACTTGTTTGCTTTCCTACTCAATTGGTTTTAAAGAAAGTTTTTCACTTTTTCCTTTTTGTGTCATTCTTACAAGGTGTTCTTTGCTCCACGGCCTACGTATTAAGTTGCTTCTTTATTAAAATCAAGGGAAATTTCTTACAAACTCAAGATTCTGTTAGGATAAGTTCACAGTTGAATCGTTTTATGGTGGAAACTGAAAATGATCTGATACAGTTCCAAGCATAAAACCACTACATGAAATAACCGTAGTCCACGATCTATGTGGTTTTATCAATCAAGTCTCCGATTAAAAGATCCAACGATTGGGAAGCAAGAGATTTCCTACTGATAAAAAATTCTAATAACAAAGAATTGACGCCGGAATTGTGATCTATATTTTATGACCACTAAATTAGTCGTCTATCCCCTGGGTTGTATTCTGGGTACTATTGTTGATGGTGGACAACGTAGGTTGTTTGGGTTTTGTAGTATCTGGTTCGCCGAAATTAAGTTTTTTTTTCGAATTCGGTGGTAATGAATGGAATGTAACCCAAATGACAATTATCTATCCATATACACATCGGAATGAAATCCATTGACTATCTTGTTGACTACACATCATAGACATTACGGAATAGGATGATTATGTTGTATTTTGAGGAACTTTGATAAGCAAATTTTATGACTTAGCGGTTGTTCTTGGTATTTAGAAACAGAAGTCAATGTCTATTTAGATGGTGGATGTTTGGATTCACCCATTCGGTTTCTCACAGGCATCAGGCACTGTTGATGATGTTCAATGTCATTTTCAAGTGACCATTGACGAACTCTATTGGGGTATTCCTCGAATGCTAATTGGCTCTCGGTCTGTGTTATTGTATTTCATTAAAGATGCAGGTAAGTTGCCAGCTCTTCTGTATATTCTGAGTACCAATATAGACATGTTAGGTATGCATTTTACACCTTCAAAGTGTACAAGGTTGGTATAAGACTGGGTTGGTCCAGTATCCAGCCTCACACTTACTGGAGGAGTAAAAGAGCAAGTGAACGGGTTTTGTTATTTAGGCAGCTAGGCAGCATCATGAATAAAGTCACAGCTCGAATACAGAAGGTTCGATTGGCATTTATCAATTTGACATCTGTTGGGCCGCCGCGACATCCAGCTGTCCGTGAAGGGTCGAGTTTATTCTGCGGTGGTTAGGCCAGTTATGCTTTATATCGCAGAAACTTGGCCATTAGGGAGCACAGGATATGGAAAGACTGTCGGTGTTCGAACATCGTTGTCCATGTAGAGTTAAACGAATCTGTTGGGACAACCTGACAAGCAATGCTGAGGTTAGGCGTAGAGTTTTAGATGATCGCGGTCGTCTACTGAAACAAGTGGTTGACCTCCATAGATTACAGTGGTTGGCGCATGGATTGCGCGTGTCACCAGACAGGCTGCCACGGTGAGCGATGTTTGGTGAGGCAGTTAGTAGGTGGAACAAAGTAAGGGTGGTCAAAATAAAACCTGGCATGAAAACCCTAACCAGGAGACTCGGTCCCATAGGTCGCGTTAGGCTCTCTGGATGGGTATCTTAAGATCATGATAACCGGTGGTTAGAGACACGGAGTGATATGGTTGAGGGTCGTGAACAGTGGAGTTCGTGCACCTTAATTTCTATGTGACCTTGCTACATTGAAATTCTCCATTTTCTCTTCGACTCTACTTTCAGCTTTCCTATGTTTCTCTTTTTGTTTCCTCCAAATGGACGGCCAATAGACAGCAACCAAAACCGGAGCACGAAAATTTATGTTTAGTGGTTTGACGCACTGAAACTGAAACTGTATTTCAGATTTTGGCCTCGTCTACAGTTTATCATCTTTGACCGGAGAAGATTTGATAAATCGTGCAATAATTTGAGAATCTAGCAGGAACAGAGAAAAATGAATAGCTTTTTATAGGGACTAAGAAAAAGTTCTTGTTTACTCCACGCAATTTTTATGTTTGGGCACTGAAAACGTGATCAACTGCATTACATCACAGATTTCGATTCAGTGCCATATCAGGTGACCTTGGACAACACCAGACGCTAACCTGGGAGCCCCGGGTTCGAACCGCTTCACCGCCGCCCGTCTTCTCAGGTAGCCTTTGTATGGCTGCGGCCCCCTTCCTGAATGTTGACTGTACATTTGTATATTCAATAAATGGCCGTCGTGCATTTACTCGTGATTAGTGTAACTCCAGTTTATATGAGTTCTCTACCTTCTATTTGACTCTGCGCTCAACATTCCAATCCTTATTCCGCTTTTTTATTCAAATGGGCAGACAAAAGACAACAACCAAAACCGACGGGTGAAAATCAAATCAAGTCAAATCAGTAGTAGCTTTATTCACCCGAATGGATGAATTTTCAGCAGTTTACACCATATTTTCGGGTGCAGATTTACAAAACCTGACGACTTTCTAGATCATACAACATACCCAGCACATTGCCACTTATTACGAATACCCATCTGAACGGAACATAAACATAAAAAACAGTAAATAATTAAATGATTTTACTTCTTTCGCTTACTTTTTATAGAAATTTACTGTAGACTTTCAGGAAGGTGGCCCCGATTGAATCTCTCACCGGCATGATAAATTTAGCTAATGGTTTTGCTAATACATATTGTAGGGAATTAATTACGCTATTACTACATTATTTAGGTAGTATTTTATATAAAATTTTGTTTCATACAGTTTTACGACTGAAATGTTAGTATATTAGCTTAAACAAGTTATACAAGATGATATCAAATTTTGTGTGTGTGTTGACGCATCAAACTACACAAGATTTGATACTTAAATTGGACAGAAGAGTACATACTATCCATATATATGTAAGTGTTAACTGTCACCGTATCGGTCCTTTCAGGGGGCATACGAATGATCGTAGCCGTGGCCAGACATCTTTCAGAATTTCTGGTACTGCGACAAAAGGAAGGAGGGAACTCCATTTGAATAGAAGTAACAATGCTTATCGTCGTGTCGGTTAGGTTCTCATAATTTGTTGCATAATTTGTGTGGTCCAGGTTTGAAAACACCTCATGCATCCGAGTATATGGGATTTTTGAATCAATTAAAAATTCGGGAGCTTATTCAATCTATGCATTGCCCGTGTTGATAACAAAGTATGCTCGCGCTTTTGGTAGAGAACGATATTTCATGATTTTCATATCATAGCATCAGCAAGAGGCCGCAACGAAGAAGGTCAAGGATCGAGAGTCAGCAAACCAGATGTAATCTGAAATTCCTATGAGATCGTCGCGCAACCTCTTAGTAAGATTTATGTTTCTACAGCTCAGTTATTCTTTTTCGTATTCGCTTGAATTTTCGCATACAAGGGGAGTTGTCTTTTGTAGAGGTTTTTTCATTCTTGAACAGAGTACTCTGGATAAGTCCTCGAGATGGCCTTATCAACAAGTATTGACACTTCCGATTTCTTGAAAGAAAGTGCAGCCCTTTTAAGCTTGCTTAGCTTTCTACTTTCTGCTTGCCTGCTTCGAGCCCCCTGAAATTGAGCATTATCTTTATTAGTAGATATTCATTCTCTCCCGTTGCTGGATGTGACGCCTTCCATGTTCCTTTGGCGTATAGTGAACAGCAGGTCAGGTCAGGTTACACGGGACTGATTGAGGCCGCGATCAGTGGAGCTCCGGAATTCGTTCATGTCAGCTGTACTGAAATATAAAAGTGAGACATAGGTTCTCGTCCCACCAAATTTGCGAGCGAATTGTTAGACGTGAGCGTTCCATTACGCGCAAAAGAAAAAAGAGATATGATATCCTGCTGACCCAGAATAGATGGGTTTTATTCAGCTCCACTTCTGTATCTGTTTGAAGAGAGCCCTTAAATCAATCCATTCTGCCAATCCGTCTCAATGAGTCCCCTGAAGACCGGTTTCTGTGTCTCACTGCATTCGTAGTTTTACGAACTTTTGTTGGAAATGGGCTAGCAGTGTCAGTAACCTGAACATAGGTCTGGGTTCGTCACGTCGTTAAACTCCTCTGTCTTATCTGGCTTTGGTAATTTTTGCCACAAAACAGACTGTATACATTTGAATATTATGAACCAAAACTTGTCCGCTTTTTAGTAATGAAACTTTTTTTCTCTCACACACTTTGTCGGTTTCCTCTATCCTGTCTGTGATTCTCAAACGTGTTCACAATGGCTGAAGTGTATGGTCGTTTTTGGGTTGACCTTACTTTCAGATTGTTACCTCTTTAGCCATCTGCAATGGCTGCTCTCTAGGCAAGAACATGCTTATTAGGGCTGTTTCTTTGCCCTCCGATTGAGTCGGTTCAGTGGCACGAACCTTCTTGGAGTTTAGTTGTTTTCAGATTCCCACGCAATGGATCCATCATAATTTAATCCGGGGATTTAAAACCATTTACCCTGGAATATCATTTACCCGAGGATTCACTGCTGAGCATAATTTCTTCCCTTCGTTCTGTGTCATAAGTAACCCGTAATTTTTGGCTTTCCTTGGTGATGCGATTTCGATTTGTGTCGATTCTTCTTAGCCTTCTTGTGATCATCTAGGCCTGCATGATGACGCCTACCCTGGAGCTGCGCGTTACAGTTTCTGGACACCTGTGCTCAAGCAAATTACAAAGGTGGCGTCCATGACACGCGTACGGCTTCGGACTACATGCCATAGGCAGGTTGTGCCAGCAAATTCAACACAGTACAGACAGAAGCAGAATGATGCAAGCAAAGCTGCAATACAAATGGTGAAAGCCTAGGTAACCAATGATCTTGTTTTGGACATATTATTTAATCGTTTTTATTTCTTTCTACTACTACTACTGCCAAGTTTCATACCAACGCTGGATTGTAATGTCCCAGTACACGTGTAAGTGATGCTCTCAAGCTCACAGAAACAGGGAAGTGATCGACTAAATGGGCATGTTTAGTTGTTGGAAGGCTTTATTTCACTCCGGAAACGTCTGATGGACGAATGGTCAAGAAACATACAGAAGTCTTGATTGGTATTTATCGTGTTGAAACNATGCGACCTGTGGACTTTAGCTTAAGAACTTCTAGGACAGCGTGCATCGCCTTTGGACAACTCGCGCAACCTATGCACATAATTCTCACACCCGCTCAAATGCATTGTACTGACAGCGCACAGTTTACGTAAACGTATATAGCTGATTTGCGTGTGGTGACGATCGGTTCGTTTCTGCTCGATTTTAGTTAATGGCAACTTTTGTTCAAACGCATTCGTTAGTAAAATTTTATTTAAGTTTCTGTCGTATGAATCTTTTTGTTTCTGAATCTGTAATATAAATGTTGAATACAAACGTTTTTGTTTTAATTTGAAAACTTGAAGCCATGATTAACCGTTACAACTCGTGGAAAATCTTTTAACGGATTGAAGGTGAAGCTTGTATAGAGTACATGGAAGACCAAGGACTTCGGAAACGTACATTATTGAATGTGGTCATATGCTGTTTACTCAGGAGTATCACTGTAGTCGAGATGCATGTTCCTCGGTGCTGTAAATGCAAGAGATATACATCTATCCGTTTGAGAGCATTTAAAGCTAAAGAACACTTGCCTTCGGACACTTCATTGAAATTATTGGATTATTGCGTAATGGAGGAACCGGTGAAGAGTACTGCCATGATAGCAACGTTCGATCTGTGAGAAACGAACTAGAGTGAGCTTAGAAATTAGTTCATAAATGCATAACGTAATCATGGGCGCCATATATAGATCACCTACGCTATACCCATTATTTTGTCGTCAAATATATGGAAAATTGAGTGAATTTAAGAAACTAATAAGTATGAAGCCATATTACGCATTGAGAATTATCCTGCAATAATAACGGTTGCATCCTAGCATTAGAGGTTATTTTGTTCTATTCCATTTGTATAATGTGCTCTGGTTTGATACAACCTATGCACTATGAAATTGCTGTTGTAATAACATACGCCAAGTTTTCTTATTGAAAACTTACAGTGATCCTAACGTACAATGTAAAGTAAACGATTTGTTTTGGTTAAATATTAAATCCGTTTTCTTGGTAAATGTTGCTCGATCGTAAAATCAAATACTTACATCTCACCCTCCAGTACAACTTTTCATTTACGGATGACGTTTGCTGATTTATTTGTATATGAACATTTTAACTACGTTGGACACTCTCTTTTATAATGAAGAGTTACTTTCTCTGTTCACAATCTCGTGAACTTTGGCACACGAACAAAATCACAATTGTACCACATGGTGCTGAAATTCGGCCATTATAAAAGAAGGTTACAGATAAACTGTCGTTCTTCAAACACTACTGTTTACGCAGCATTGAACGATTCTGGTGAGGGAACCGACCAATTTTAGTGGCTGGATGGTTGCTGATGTTTGTCAGAATCAGCCACTAATGTTCGCATACGTTCTTTACCGATATTCGTTCTAGGAGGAATCAAACGAAAACTTAGGATTATAGAACTTTTGTATTCTGATACTTCCGAACTGTTGGAAGTGAGTTATTACCGGCTTTGTCTAATATTTTAACAACAGCAACGGAAGTCTAAAAGTAGATCTGATCTGATCAGAGCATAGCTGGCGTGTGATCTAGAGCTCACCGTGGGAGGCGGGGGTGATGGTGTCAGTGCAGTTGATTTGAGCTCATTAAACACACGATAACAGTTAAAGCAAAACTTAACTCTGAAAGTGTCCAAGTTGCAGTGCCTCATAAAGAAGTTTTCCCTGAACTATCACCATTGCCAAATAATGGCGAAATGTGTTACACCTCGACGGCTCACTTGATTATAACCAATTGAGAAAAAAGCTTATTATCCTAGGAGGTTAAGAATAACCTCTGCCTAGTTCTTGAAACAACCAGAAGTGGTCGAAGGGTCAAGTTACTATTTGATATCTGGCTCTTGATGGTTCTAATAAGTATGCCATTGCTATGTAACTATGTCCTGGTAGTCCTCAATTACACGGGACTGGTTAGAAACTGAACCTGTCCTGCTGCTAGTCACTCCAGCGTTGGGTAAAGTTCCTGCTTATGCGTGATTTGATGGTAACGTTCAACTCTAATGGATCTACCAGGAAACCTAGGGAATAGGAAGAGGATGGGAGAGAAAACTGCCGTTGTGAAACTGTGTGATA